CATCACGTATGGATTTTATCAACCAGTTGAAAAAAAAATTATAAACTAACAGCAACCTGATTGACTACCTTTTATTTGTAACATCTGATCTATTTGTTATGGTTCTCTTTACTTTCTACATTCACTTTTCACATAGGAATTCAATGAGGGAGCAGCATACATCTTGTGCTTTAACAGCACAAAATAATTGATACCAGAGCAAACTTTTCAAGAATAAAAATACCGTGTATGAAAACATCTGCCCAGTAACATTCTGAAATGTAATTTTTTTAGAGCAGGTTACAATATTTTTTGGGCAGAGGATGAATCCCTGCAAGTTATGAAAGCAACAGACTGATAAATTTCCATCTGTTCAAATATTCACCACGGCCTGATATACTCTCTGCCCTTAATGTCTGTTACAGAGATGCTCTCCCAAATACATAACTGCAAAATCAATTCAGTTGGGAAGTACATAAAACGTTTTATGCTACAAATGGGAAAACTTTATGAAAAATACTGAACTGCTAAACCCATCATGTGCTTAAAGGCACAGACTTATTTTATAACAGATAATTTTATAAAACAGGATATAGGGACTTCTTGGAAGTCAACAGATTTTAACAGCAGCTGGTCAACTAAATAGATACTAGTTTACTACAATTTTCTGAAGAGGATGACTTTTCCTTTCTTTCACCCTTATCCCTGTGTAGTACTTTAAAAAGAACTCCTTTGAGAAATGGTATCACCTAACGTTTCCATTTGCCCAGATGTTTTCCTCATTAGCCTGTCAGGAAAGGCATATATAGGGTAATTCTAATGATAGCAAACACCTCATAAAAAAAAACCTCTCCAAATTTACTTTTCCACAAAATATAATTTTAAGGCGCTTCATGAACCCATGCGGAAAGAAAGCATCATTTACAAAATATTATTACTAGAAATCTTAAAGATATTAAAAAACTGGAATGTCAGTCCTAGTGATAAAATTTCAGTGTATAAGACCGAATACAACCATGGACCTTATTCAAGACACTTTGCTCAATTCTGACTCCCACTTAGTTCAACAGGAAATGATCTGAGTAACAGCCTGATCCTGCAATGTAGAATGCATGGGTGGACTGCTATGTTTGCAGAGACCCACTGAAGCTAGTGATTTCACATTGAGCATTACAGAATAAGGACCCAAGGGGAATAAGGAGTGCTGAATAGGAAGCCCTGTCCTCTATTAACTAGGAAGAAGAAAGAAGTGGTTTTAATATAGTTATACCTAAATTTATTATTATTAGTTATATATTTCCTGTCAGTTCTCTGCACAATATATAAGATATTTCACTTTTTCTATACCTGCATTTAGACAGAAAAAATTAACCAATCAGTATAAAAACCCCACTTTATTAGAGATTTAAGATGTATTCAATTTAATCTTACATCTTCCACTATTGGTCTCAAGTCATTGTAAATAGCTGGCAACAGTAACACACTGTTAAGAAGAGCCAACAGAATAGGAAAGCACAAGAAACAGTGCTCTAAAATTCACTGAGATCATTTCCAGGGACATCACTCATTTTGGTCCCAAGTTACTAGTATCACACACATATTTTGTCCTTTTATTGTTGAAATGACAATTATTTCCATCAGCAGCAAAGAATCATGAAGCTTGGGCTAGAGAAAGTGTTATTTACACTGAAGGGTGAAATTTAATTATTTTTGGTGTTTTTCACTGGGGTCTTTTCCACTCCTCACATCTCACGTTTGAGCCTTGGCACATGGAGAGGTCTGCTTTCATCATTTATATGAAAAATGTCATTAATAAGTCAGCAAAAGTACAGCAACTCTCTCCAGACGTTTCTGAAATACTTGCAACGTTACCAAATCATATGAGAAATCAAACTGGGAGCTACTTCTATCGACTTCTCCCCACCCCACTCCCGCCCACATCCCCAGGCAATATAAATGCAACTAACAGTTTAAAAAACGAGTTTGATAAAAGCGTGTCTGGGAATAGCGCTGGACAAGTCGCAAGTCGGGAGAGAATGGCTGTGACAAGCAGGAGGGTGACGGCTGGGAAGGAGGAGAAAAGATGGGGTGGGGAAGACGGGGGCATGCGGTTGCAGAGATTTCAGCCCAAGTTGGCCCTGGTAGCTTCATGACACCCCCACAACTCATTTAGTCTGGTACCGGCCCCCGAGCTTGCACCTTCTCAGCACAAACACGAGGCTCTGGTTGCCACTTTGCCCGAATTCAAACAAGCCGCCTCCGTTGTACGGACGGAGACGTGACAGGCACCTGAGGGCAGCGGCATTTATAGGGCGTGGGGGTAACCAGGCAGGAGGGGATTCAAGCTTCCCTCTCCCCCCGCCCTGTTCCTAGGGGCATTGCTGCACGTGAACAACACCAGCACACGCGGCTTTAAGGGGGCGTGTGTCCGACCGGCCGGGTCCCACCCCCGGCACCTGTAGCATGGCCCCGGGGCATTCCTGCCACCCATGCGGGCACTTTTCGAGGGCTGCCTCTTCGCGGGGAATCCGGCTTCAGGAGGGGGTCAGGCAATGGGGCGGCCCACCCAGGCCCCGCCCCCAAACGCATCAAGCAGGCTCCCCCTCCACCCCCGGGCCGGAGCCGCACGCCAGGGCTGCAAACGCCGCTGCCTCGCCCCCCCCAGCGCACCTCCCCGGGAGGGACTCACCTGCGGCTGGCCGTGGGTGCTGTTGGCCGGCGGGGGGTCGGGCTTGGCCCGCAGCACGGTGATGTGCAAGGTGAGCAGCAGGAGCCCCAGTAACAGCAGCAGCTCCGCCGCCAGCCGCACCATCCTCTTGAAGCGGGCGGCTTTAGGGCCCCGCAGGAGCGGCGGCAGCAGCCGCGGAGGAGGAGGAGCCGCCGCCGCCGGAGCAGCCCCGGCCGGAGCAGCGGCCCCGCTGTCGGGCCGGGCCGGGGTGGCGGAGGCGCCGCCAGGCCACGGCGGAGCCACGTCAGGACGGGAGGCGCCGGGGCAGCAGCAGGCGGCGGAGAGGAGCGCGCCGCTGCCCGGCTGCTGCGGCGCTGGGCAGCAGGGCGCGGGGCCCGGGCCTGGTGCAGGAGGCGGCGGCTCGCCTGGCAGCCCCGCGCTCCGGAGTCCGCATGGGCTCGCCAGGGGGTCTCCGGGGCGGGGGGCTGGGGAGCCAGGCGCGCGGGGCAGCCTGCAGCCGGCGGGAGCCCGGGCCGCGCTCCGCATCCAGGGGGAGGCGAACGGGGAGCGGCCGTGGGGCTCCCTCACATGGCTGGGGCCGGCGCCGGGACACCGCGGGCGAGTGCCGGGGGCTATTGCTGCAGGCTCAGCGCAGGGGAGCTGCTGCGCTGTCCTCCCCACCCCGCTGCGGGGCTTGGGTCTCCCTAGCCCCCCTCACGCTGCAAGGACGGGGCGCCCCTAGCCCCCCCCCACCCCCGGTCCCCTCACACTGCAGGGGCTGGGCGCCCCTAGCCCCACTTCACTGCACGGGCTGCCCTAGTCCCCTGCCCTCCTCACACTGCACGGGCTGGGCGCCCCTAGCCCCCTCACACTGCACGGGCTGCCCTAGCCCCCCAGCCCCACTTCACTGCACGGGCTGCCCTAGTCTCCCTCACACTGCACGGGCTGGGCGCCCCTGAACCCGCTGTGCGACCGCTCGGTCTTCCCCACGGGCTGCGCCCCCTTCCCAGGCACGTGCCCTACCGACCCCCTTATACGCTGCCCTTAGGCACGGCTTTATCCCCCCAGCCTCTGGCTGGGCTAGCCCCGTGCCCTCTGCCTGCCGATCAGCGCCTGACAGCCGGATCCCAGGGCGAATGGCTCCCTGCCGGCCCCGGAGAGGGGTGACTCCCCTCCGCGCCCAGCGCTGAGGTTAGCTCTGAGCTTGAGGTGCTGGAGCCCCGCTCCTCTTCCTGCCGGTGCTGCGGGCTGCAGCCTCGGGGACACTCATCTCCTCGGCAGGGCGGCGGCAACTTCCCTTTGCCCTCCTGCTGCTGCGGGCTCCTGCTGCCCTTTCATCCCGCTGCCGAGCGGTGGGCAGGCGGGCGCTGCTGATTTCTCCCCCGCTGGGTTAATCCGGGGTAGATGGTGCCTGTCCCCTCTTCCTCCTCGGAGCTAAACTCCCGGTGCCGCAGCAGCAGAGAGACTGGACTGCAGAGCTTTAGCGATCTGCTCTGCTTGCGCGCTGGATACCTGGCTCCATCTCTCTCTGTCTCTCTCCTGCAATGACCCTAGGCCAGCTCCTCTCACTCTCTCCTGCCACCGTGTGTGTGTGTGATTGCAAGCCGCTGGCCCTCCTCTTCTTCCAGTCCAGCTTTCTCTCCCCCTCTTTCTCTTGGGAGAGGAGTGAGCTCTGTGGGTGTGATGCTTTTATACTGCGCTCTCTCTCCCTCCGCTGTCCCCTTTCCCCCTCCCACCTTCCCCCTCTTAAGCCTCCTGTTGCAGCCCGATCTCTTTTCCCCACTGCCTGTGGCTCCGAGGGCTGCTCCACAGTGATTCCCTGTGCAGCCTTGCCTTGCCTGCCTAGCCTCATCTGCAGCCAGCACTCTTACTTCTCTGCTCTAGGAAAAGAGGCAGTGAGCACAATTCTCTCTCTTCCCTGCACCTTGCGACGGCATTTATATCAGAGCAAAGTGGGCATTAAACGCCACCAACACAGAATATCCACTTTGGACTGGCGCAAATAACTATGCGAAGTGTAGGGCAACAGAATGCAAACCCTGTATATTCCTCACTCCCTGCTCTGTTCTCAGGAATTTATAATTAGCCTGGAAAAATACTCCCCTGGATGGGAAATGTGTCCCTGGGGTTAAAATTAATTTTCATTTTTCAAAAAAATCAATGCAGCTGCACTGACTCCTGTGGAGGCAGGCGGATTTACACAAGGTGAAGATCTGGCCCAGTATGTGATTTACACAAGGTGAAGATCTGGCCCAATATGTGAGTTGTTTGTTTTGAAGTTATAAAGTTACCAAACAAAATGGAAGTGTTGGACTCTGACATTGTTCCTCTGCCGTTCAAAAAGCCTATGTAAGAATATTGTTCAGGTGTGGGCCGTATCAGTGATCGGTATTTCTAAGCATTGGTGACAAAATAAAAAATGCTTACAATGGCCGAGAGACTGAATTTCATTACACTGCATTATTGGTATGAAAGGCAAGGAGAAGTTCCCTGTCCTTGTAAAACTGGTTTACAGTCTGATTTTATCAGAAGGGTCTTTATGAGCTAATGGCCGAATCCTTTTTGCCTTACGTGATTTGTCCCATTAACCTCAGCAGAATGGTTCAAGTGAGAAAAGCAAGCAACGTCTGGCCCCTTGTCAGTAATCTGCAGACTCATAGTAGGAAACTGATCTCCTCTTGTAAACTGGGTGTGACTCCACTGAAGTGAATGGACTGGGTTTTTTAGACCATTAGGATGCTTTACGCCACTCTGAATCCACTCTCCCCATCAGTCATACACCAAGTCCTTCTCAGCCAGCCCAAAGGACACATACCTATGAAAAACTGGTGTGAGATGAACTGCCGGGACATGTGGTGGCTTTTATAGATCTGTGTAAATGGACAGATTAAAGAATGAATCAGAAGAGTGTCTCATATCCTTCCACTGAGAATTTTTTTCTGATTAGAATAATTATAAAATAACACTAGACCTGAAATAACTCTATTAAGGTAACAATGAGGCTGTGACTAAAAGCCACAAACTCTAACAAGTTCAGATTTAAGGATTTTTATCCATTAATACATCTCATTGTGTCTCAGTATTGCAGCACATGTGATCTGCATATCTGTGCACTGATCAGAATGGATATAGTCTCTCTCTAATTTGCCTTGATTTGGAGACCACGTGGGAAGTCACATATAACATTACTTTAACATGCTTTCTTGTGTTCATATGTATTCATGACACATTTACATGTAACAGTCATACTTGGAAATATTGCATTGATATTCTAATAGTGTATAGAACTAGCACATTATATTTAAAAAACCTATGAAAAGTAGCTTTTTTTCAAACACATATTTTGGACAAAAAAAAAATACCAAGAAGCATAACTAGTGATATGTTTTAAATTAAACATTTTTGGCCAGATTCTCTTCTCAATAACACTCATATGATTCTGGAAGTCAGTGGCGTTATAAGGTATAAAATCAGTGTAAGCAAACAGAATCAGGCCCCTTTCTCAAAAGAATTTGTCCAAGAAAACATTTGATTCTAACATTTTTTTCAAAATATTTGCCTTGGTGTCAGATACCATAAGCCCCCGGATAAGCAGAGTGGACTTTGCTTCTTTCTTAAGTGCCCACATGAATAGTAATCACCGATTCCCAGTTTTTGCTCAGACTACATGTGTTCCTACTCTACATAAGTGCCATCACTCATGCATAATTAGGTTAACTACATACCTAACAGGCTTATTTGCTGTCTCCCACCTGTACTCAGTCTCTGGGCAAGTGCATGGGTGAGTTGGAGAGTGTCAGTGAAATGTAAAAATGTGGTAACAAGGCAAACATCAGTTCAGTGGCCTTCGGATTTGCAAAATACTAAACTGAGAGAGTGGAGTTGATTTAAAGTTATATAATAAAAAACACAGATGGTAACTGTTGAAGCTACTGGTATGTCAGGGTTCAATATTTTAAACAAAATAAAGAGAAGATTCTTGAAAAGTGGCAGAATAATTACAACCTGGACCACGAAAGTTGTCATGCTGGAAAGGTGGAAAATGTCAAAGAAACTTGTGCCACTGGTTTACCAAGGCCTGCCACCCACAAGTTCCCGTCAGTGGATCCATGTTGTTGGGGGAAGCTGGAAACTTGGCATGTGAGGGATGTGTTTTTAGATATGAATGTTACAAATCAGTGGCTGGAGAGATGGAAAGATCATAATGCAAAACAGTCCGAGGACAGGATAGTGACAAAAACAAACGTCGGTTTGCTGCTGTGCTCTGGGTAATGTAAATCCTCCCTGATCTTATGAAAGACTATGAACAAGTAGAAAGGCATCTTCAATCCAGATGAGCTGGGTTTGTACTAGTGTGTGTTTCCTGATGGGGCATTAACTTCTTATGTGTCAAGCTGTTGTACAAAGATGACGAAGGACAGAGCAACGATACTGTTGACAGTAAGTGGATGGCAGCAAGGAACTGGATTCTCTTGTGACTGGAAAAAACAAGGATCCACATTGTTTTAAAAATCTAGAAACATCACTTGTACCCCATGGTGCCAACAACTCTGCGTGGATGACTGCAGAGACATGGAAAAATGATTACACAACAAAATGCAGAATAAAAAGAGCAATTCTGCTCTGTGTCTGTTGCGTGGCTCATATAGATGAACCGTAAACATTTTTAAGTAGCAAACATGACTTCATTGGTGCATCCAGTGGATTGAGGGTCATAGCATGGGGTTAAAGTAAAGGAGTTTTGCTAAAAGCCGTGGGAGAACTCTTCCTCTGGTGTGAGGCAGACTTGCTCCACCACCTGCCATTTCCTCACTGGGTAGTGAAATGAGGACTCATCAGGAAAGGGGATTTCCAGTTGAGGACTGCAGGAAGAGCTGCTGTCTAGCCTGGGGAGTTTTGGGGGCTCCCAGTCTTAATGATAGCAATACCTAGCTTTTATGTAGTGCTTTTCATCAGTAGACCTCAAAGTGCTTTACAAAGGAGGTTAGTATTGTTAGCCTTATCTGTAAAAGCTGAGGCATAGAGAGGTGAAGGGACTTACCCAAATCACTCAGCAAACCAGTGGCAGAGCTGACGGTAAAACCTAGGTCACCTGAGTCCCGGTCCAGTGCTCTGTCCCCTGGGACACACTGCCTCCCACTTCTGTAAAGTAGACGCAACTTGGGTTTCCCAAGTCAAGAGACTCCTAACAGTCTGTTCTAGTTGGTGAGGTGTCCCTTTGCTAGCTCCCCGAGAGTAACGAGTCCTCCCTCTTTCCTCTCCCTGCCCAGGCTCTGAGAGAAGAGGAGACTGAAGACCACTGCTCCTCTCACCTTGAAGGCTTCAGCTTCTTCTCCAAGGATAAAAACAGGCACAAACAGCTCCTAGAGCAGTAAAATGGCTCCTTTCCCCTCTGCTCTCCTGGAACTCCACAGTGAGTTGGGAAATGAAAACTGAAAAGAGACAGGCACATAGAATAACCCCATTGCCTTCAGATTATGCCCTCAGTTTACCTCACTGAATGAGGTTGCAGAGGTATTGCTGAAGGCTTGATCTGGAGACTAGGAGGTTGCATTTGAGGATGGCTGACTTAGCTTTTACAACCTCTTCTGCTGGTGACATGAAATGCAGGAGCCCACCTTGATGCTCAGTCTCAAGGGCAGTTTGCAAGGCTGGCAATTTGAAAAAAACATCTTTTCACTTTCAAACTGAGCAAATTTGAGATGGAAATCAGTGCATATGAAACCACACTGTCATTTTCACAGAGTAACTTCTCAGGGTAATACCACACTTCTAAAATGCAGGAAACTGCATCAGTTATCCCCAACTTTCCTCTGGGAGGGACCTCCACTGCAAACACCTAGTACATGCCTATTCTTTGTCTGGCAGGGAGCCTTCTGGGAAACAAAATCCTTTTAGTATCAAAATTCATTAAAATTTCTATTACAGAGCATCAGTATTAGGCTCCCATTGTGCTAGGTACTGTACAGACACATATAAAGACAAAGTTCCTCCTCCTAAGAGTTTGCAATCCAAGAAACTCCTTTCAGATACGTTTCTTCTCTTGACCTAGTTCTCTTCTCCAAGCTGTCTCCTGTCACCACAAGAAAAGGCATGCAAAGCCTCTTCACTTCAAGGCATGGAAGCTATAATGACCACCAAAATGGTTCCCTTCTGAGTTCCCTTCTTCTTTAGGTGTACTTATATGACTAATCATATCTGACTTTAGGAAGCAGCGTCTATCACTTGTTCTTCATCAGACTGCAAACTATTGATGCTTGAGGTGATAAAAGAGTTGTTAACACAAATAAAGACCCTGAGCTGCTAGAGTCCTTGCATGGAGATACTCTGGATTTTATGACTGACTTAGAACAACGCTCTCGTCCCCTAACACCCCTACTCTACTTGCGCTACATTGATGACATTATCATCATCTGGACCCATGGAAAACAAGCCCTTGAGGAATTCCACCATGATTTCAACAATTTCCATCTCATCATCAACCTCAGCCTAGAACAACCCACACAAGCAGTCCATTTTCTGGACACTACTGTGCTAATAAGCGATGGTCACATAAACACCACCCTATACCAGAAACCTACTGACCGCTATACTTACTTACATGCCTCCAGCTTCATCCAGAACACACCACATGATCCATTGTCTACAGCCAAGCTCTAAGATATAACCGCATTTGCTCCAATCCTT